TGCTAACTTGAAACGAAAAAGATGAACGAACTTGATCTATAAATATACACAACTGTGTATGTTATGATTATTTTAAAATATTTACTATACAAACAAGCGTAAGCGTATTTTTGATCCATTTTTTGGATATAGAATTTATTTTTGTATCTACGTAAATTTCACCTACATTTCCACAGTGCCAACTGCATATTTTTTTCGGTTCTTTGTGCATTTGTTCTAATTTCAGTAAACTGCAATTTCATTGCATTGAGGCTGAAACAACGCCATCTTAAATTCAAAGTAGACTCCCAGTAATAGTTTTTGAGTTTCTAAAGGGGCGCATTCAAAAGCATCATACGTGGAGAGTCTCAAGAACCTTTTAGTATTCGTGAAATGTGGCAAATTCCGGCAATCAAGCAAACTATCACTAACTTTATAAGGGTCTGTTGCATAGTGGTTTTAAATAATTTGGAAGGCACACGGTTCGCAATTTTTTTACACTAATCTTTTCCAAATGGACATTTTGTCATAGTTCACTTAGAGTCTAGATCTGATACACATCTCTTAAATAATAAAAAATGTATAATTGATTAATTAAATAATCAAATTTTATCGATTTTCATTAACAGGCTGATTATGTGATTAATAAATTGAACCTTTTTATCTGATACCCCCTTCAGGCATATTACAATGGGTTTCTCACCCTCACGTTGATCCCCCATAATTTTTAAACAGCTAAAAACTACCTCTGTATGCAATTAAAAAACTGCACTCAAATCGGTTTATTTGTTGGGAAGCTGCTATGCTACAGACAGATACATACAGGGTTTGTCCGGAAAGTAATAGGACTCATTTTATTCCGCCATAACTGTACTTCGAAGCGTGCGCGCACCGACTGGATTCGGTAGAGGGCGTTCCTAGCTAACGAATGAGCGGCTGGTCAGTTGTCTCCGAGCACTTCGAGAGTGAGGATTTCTCGCGACGTGTTTCTATGAGTGGTGCAAGCCGAAAATGCAGCGTTCATTAGAGCAGAGGTACGCGATTAGATTCTGTGTGAAACTCGGTAAATCTGCGACAGAGACGTTTGATATGATCAAGCAGACTTACCTAGGTGTTGCTTTAGCAAGAAGTGGTGTGTTTCGATGGCACCAGGTCTTTTTGGAGGGCCGGGAAGAGGTCGCTGATGTAGACATTCGACTTCGACAAACACCGATAATGTGACTCGTGTGCGCAAAGTTTTGAACTCAGACTAAGTATTTGTTCAATTGCCCAGATGTTAAATTTACCAAAATCTGTGGTTCATGACATTGTGACACAGCATTTGAACATGCGCAAGGTGTGCGCGAAGATGGTCCCAAAAGTGCTCACTGACGACCAGAACTTGCGGCGAGTGGAAGTGTGCCAATAAAATTTGAACATGTGTGAAAGTGACCCCCAATTTTTGAATAACGTAATCACAGGTGACGAGTCGTTGATCGTTGAGTATGATCCCGAGACAAAGAGGCAATCTTCCGAGTGGCACACGACGGCGTCTCCTCGCCCAAAAAAGGGAAGAATGAGCAAATCCAAAGTGAAAACGATGCTCATTGCCTTTTTTGACATCAAAGGCATCGTCCACCATGAATTTGTTCCTTCTGGACAAACCGTCAACGCCAAGTTTTACGTGAAAGTGCTCAGGAGCCTCAAACGAAGGGTCAGTCGGGTCCGACAAGACATCGCAGCCGACTGGAAGTTGCACCACGACAACGCCCCGGCTCACACCGCCTTTCTTGTGAACAGCTACCTGACCAAGGCCGGCATCCTAACGCTTCCGCAGTCGCCCTACAGCCCAGATGTGCCCCCCCCCCGGACTTTTTTTTTGTTTCCTCGCCTGAAAAGGCCGACGAAAGGCAAGCATTTTGAGACGACAGAGGGGGATCCAAGCAACATGTACCGCAGCTCTCAAGGCTATTCCGGAGAATGCCTTCCGTGACGCCTTCAATGCTTGGAAATCGCGCTGGCAGCGCTGCATCAACGCAGAAGGAGCCTATTTTGAAAGTTTTTAAAGAATTGTAACGATTGGCTCAATATTTTTTTTAAATCGACTCAGTCCCATTACTTTCCGGACAAACCCTGTAGATACATGTTCTACGCTTGTAAAAAAATCATACAAGTGACACACCATTTAGCGGTACTACTTATTATGATGCTTCAGCTGTGTAACGCCCATGATAAAATTATTGTATATACTAATATTGTAGCTTTTCTTCGTCCGACCACAGACGGTCAAGCACAGACAGCTGTTTTTACTTTCGCGATGGTCAAGTATGGTAATAGATGGCATTGTGTGCTGTCTTATTTCCATTATTGTATATATTTACATGTCCCTCTTACAGTTAAACACATCAAGTTACTAAATCCCGAGCTAGCTGTTAAGTCTCTCAAAACTTGTTATTATAACCCGATATATTCTGATAAGAAATATAGCAGCATTCTACTCACTGTGACCTCACAAATTCCACCAAAATCGACGTACGCTGGAGGTTGAAATTTACACCATGTAAAGTTTACGCAATAGAATTTCGATATCAGGAATATCACCGCTTTGTAAATGTAACTCCGGTCATTTACGAAATAATATGGAAAATATTACTGATGTTGTCGAGTACACTTATCAATACACAAACAAACTTAAGTTGTTTGCCATCCCTTTTTGCACTAATCTATCTTTGTCATTATTATAATCCCTAGGGTTCCGCCCACTGGATTAGATAATGATTCATGTTTGCCGTATTTCGTAAATAACAATCCATTATTGTACTATAATACTGATAAATACTAAACACTTACAGCCACAAATAGAAATTTGATAAACTAAAGCAGATAATTCGGTTTACAGCGTACTGTGTTGTGTTATTAGTACAGGCATTTCGTTTGATCAGCTGAGATTATTTATTACTATGTTGAGCAATAAAAGATTTTTGTTTCAAAAGCGATTAATTAAGATAACACTTCAAAAGTGTGCCCCAATACCCGCAGTAATAGACCTGGGGATCTACTAAAGTCGATAAATGGAAATTTCAATGGGACGTGCAATTAAGATGTTGTCATCATCATTACATTCCAAAAGTCTTTAAAAGTAAAACAAAATGATTTATAAAACATTTTATCAAGACTAAAATGGTCAAGCTACTTAAAACGCACAAAAGCCTGATGTTGTTTGTAATAGTGCGTCATACTGCTTAAAACAACTGTACTATTGTCGGTGTTCGATGATGCAACACGCTCCAGCTTGACGTTATTTCTAGAAAAATGTTGACATATGTTTTGCTGTTCAAAAGGATGTCCAAACAGTTTCAAAGCGCAAATCAGTATAGATAGCATATCCATACGAGGGGGTATTGGTATGATGTTAGTTCTTATCTGTAGAATGATATCAAACAACACTGAATGTGGCAATTGATACTGCGAATTGAATTTTTACTGAATATTAAAATCTAGAGATTGTATAATAAAAGTAGGTATAAAAACGCTAACATTTGCTTTAAGCCGCGTACAGGCCGCGATTACAACGCAAGCTACGACAAATGAGGTTACAGATTTGGAGGTGTTCGAATCGATGTGGTACGGCGCAAGCCAACGGTTTCCAATGTAGGCGAAGGCGTTCCATTGCGTTCGCTCCTTGATCGGTACATCAAAGGGAGGTTTGATTTGATGGTCTGGACAGGATATGTTGCGCTTCTAGTATTTAGTCGTTTGTCTGCATTCGATGAGAGCAGACTCGTCGCTCGACATTAGCATCGTACTTAACCTGACGCGGTCCAACTCTAACCTAAATTTAGGCGTAGACGAACGCAGTCCAATACCTTCCAACAACAAATGCCAACGTCACATGTTCTTGCATTCGTTTGCTAGACGTTGGATTTTCGGTCTGTACGCGGCTTAAGATTCAGTTTGGTTAGAAAATATTATTAGAATAAGTTTGCAGACATACTTTCAGTTTCTCCATGTTTCCAGAGTTTTTGTTTCGGATATAAAAATACCATTCACAATGAAAATAGATACACGTTGATTTTTTACTTCCTACACCACTGGGCGAGGAAGTATTGTAATCGCGTAAAATTTCAGAAATGATATATTGTGTTTTTGGATGTTATATGACATGTAGTCGTACATCATTAAAAATCATGTCTCTCATTTCCGTCGCGTCGGTCTGTCTGTCAGTCAGTCTGACCCCTAATCCTTGGCCTGTCTATAACTTAGGAAGCATTCCTCGGATTTTGACGAAATTTTCACACTAGGTTGCTACTATGCCATCGAAGTTTTTGAAAATCGATCCAGTGGTGGCGGAGAAAGCCAAAAACGAAAAACGGCGTTGCGAAGGAAGTGCAGAGTCAAGCTACTCGACATATAAGATGAAGTACATATATTATTATTTTCATATTCGAAGATCTCACTTTTGTGGAATCATAAAAAGTATAACTGAACTACTCGTTAAAACATATATAATTTATTTTGGATTCACGATTCACCCTAAATGATGAAAAGGGGAAATGGAAAGATGAAGCTCGGAGATGCAGAAAATAGTGAGACTCTGATATTTTGCTTGCCACGCATGTAACATTTGAAATATCCATAGGCTTTTGGTCCCACTGCAAATCTTGAAAGTCTTTGTCACTTACTTCTCTTTGTATACATGTCTGTCTGTTTCGAAAAACAAAAAAATGACACCTCCTGACATGGTTTCTATGTTGCAGCTCTCGGATGACATTATGCTGGTAGGTAGCATGATTGAAAAAAACTCAAACTTTCTGAATCTTTTGCAACGCGGAATCACACATTTTGGACGAGTACAAATTTGAAATTGGATTTTTACCTGAACCAAACAATTGTCAAAACAGAGACAGCCACAAAGTTCAGGATTATTTTGGCATATATATGATATAAAAGGAAGATTTCGTATTAACAACATTAAATAGTAGCGTGGATTAAAATGCAACAATAATTATACACAATAGAATATTAATAAGCAATATACATACGTTTTAAATAAGTTTAGTTCAAAATCTGGTCGACAATGTCTGCTGGAGCACATCTGCCCCCGTATCAAGAACCAAAGGTCCGTACATATACCGCGTCAGATTCACGGACTGTTCAACTTTTGACACAATTTATTCGAAATTCACGACGACCACCTGTTAAGCGTCAACTACACACTACACGTCGTTCCTAACCTCAAATGAAGCTGCTGGCAGCTGACTCTACGATGTCCAACGCCGCACGTGCGTTGGTACGTGTCTGTTAGCGCAGCTGTGGTGTTCCTGCGACGTCGCACTACAACCAATGAACGTTGACGCTCGACTGACGGCGATGAGGCAGGCCGTGAGTGCCGCCGAGACGCCGCTGGCATCGCGACGCTCCGCGGTGTTGCCGATGCGAGGGGCGCTGTCGGAGATCTAGGGAAAGTCGAGCGGCGTGGCTGGAAATTGGAGAAAATGGTGACAAACAAAACCTTACAATATAATAGGGTGGCCAACATCAGGATCCTATGCATGAGGATCTCAATACTTGTGGGAGATACAGCTTGTTAAATTATTAAAAAGCTGCGTTCTTTGGGGCGGTATTTGTGAATAACTAAAATTTGGCCAAATCGTTTTTATTTTTTCTGACTTAATTTTAAGAAGTATCAGAAAACTAATGGCGCTTTTTCATTGGCACTTTTTAGGCACTACATTATTACATTTTTAACAATACTTCCATTTTATTCACAGTAGGTGTTCAAATAGGTTGCCATTATTTTCTAAACAAATAAACATGATCTTCTACAGTAGAATTTCAAAACATCACGCAACATTTCTGGTGTAATCATATTAAATGGATCCATTTAACATTCTCACAATTGCTGCTCAGTTTCAGTTCAAAAGTATCCTGATAAACTCGGTTTTTAATAAACCCCCAAAAAAAAGTCCAGAGGAGTTAAATTCTAGGAACGCGCTGTAGGTTCCAATCCACCTTTCGGGAAATCGCTGAGAAAGATATTCTCGAAGATGCCTAGAATTATGTGCAGGAGCACCGCCTTGTTGAAACCAACAGCTACTTACCTGTGACATATGTAAATTATCCAGGCAGTATACTACATTGTATTGCAACAATTGAAGGTAAAGTTCTGTAGTTAATGAGCTGTGGTAAATAAATGGACTTAATATTTTGAATCCCAGACTTCCACACCACATATTGAACCCAAAATGTTCTTGATGTCTGGATATTTTTTTTAGCCAGCATACTTTCTTGAGCCCAGTAATGAGTGCTGAGGCGATTAAAGATACCATTATTAGTGAGCATACTCTCGTTGGACATATCATTTTTGAAGAGAATTAAAATGTTCTTCACACTTTCGTGTGTATAACTCACTGAGACGTAACGCTTACGCCATATTTTTAGTATTTTTATAGCAGAAAATGTGGCACGTCAACATCACGAACTTTTCCTCATCGCTAAAATGACCGCCTTGCATCTTTGACGATAATAAAGCAATGTTAACAATACGCAATGATAACAATACTCGGTGAGAGGTACTAACGTCGAGCCAAGCATTTGTAAAAAGTCAGAAGAAGCGCATTTTTCCTTATAACCAAGAAAATAAATGTAACATGTGATACATCGCTGACTTGACAGTAAAATATGCTATTAGATACAGGGTGTTTTTTTGGACCATATAAAAAACCCCCAGCGGGCATGAATTTCAAAAATACCATCATGTATTGCCTAAAAAGTGTCAATGGAAAAGTCAAATTAGTTTTTTGATATTTCTCAAAATAAAGTCAGAAAAAATAAAACAGTTTTTCTCAAATACTCTAGTAAGCCATGAAATTTTTACAAGTTTCTCAAGGCGCGTAAATACGTCCCAAAGAACACAACTTTTCCGAATTTAACCTAAGCTGTAACTTCTACAAGTATTGAGATTCCCATGCATAGAATCCTCATCCTTATTTTACGATTTTTTCGAGTCAAACATACCAAATCACTTAAGTGTACGTGTGCATATTGATCAGGGGCTTTATTCCCAGTGTTGCTGATCCCAAATAGATGAAATCGGTGGAAAGTGTCATTGAAATTCTGTAGATTCGGGTACAAAGTCAGAAGAAGAAAAAACAGGGTCGTTGCAAGATTAGCGGTGAAACAAAAGATATTTTTTGTATTAAAATATTAACTTCTTAACGGGGCTCCTACAAATCGCTTCCTACTTTGGTACTCAGCAAGTGATCATTTAGTATTGTTCTACCCTTGTTACTATTCGTCGATATTCTGTTGTTGAATTGTTGTGCTGTACTCTTGTTGGTGTGATTGTTGTTGAGTGCCTCTTTTTATCAAGGTTGATAATGGACAATAAAAGGTCATATGCGACAACTTTAATTACGAATGCAGTGAGTTTAATTCATGATGAGGACAACAATAGTGTGGAGCAGTTCAACTCTATAATCGCAAAATACATTGAGGTAAGCGAATAAATTATTGCAAGAATAGGTCATACCATGGAAGATGTGCTGCAGCTGTAGTGAGCCACAATACCGAGCGGCCTGACTATGTGGTCCAAATAAATTTGCGTCATAAGCTTAGTCCAACCTCGTACATCACTAAGAAGAAACAAAGACTCAAACGCAAGAATCTTGAAAAGAAAATCAGACCAAAAAAGCTGATATAAAAATAACTAACATTTCGGATAGCAATTCCAAAGAAAATGAATAGTTTTATGGCGAATTCTGTGAAAACCTGACAAGAACGACATTGGTTTGGAGGTTGCTAAGCAGGAATTTTTAGGGCAACTTGAAAAAAGTGACAACGAGATTTTGCAGATCGAACAAGTCAACAAATCACAGGACTGTACTTTGTGGCGTCTTCATCGGAGGATGAGGTTAACAGCGCTTCGATTTGGTGAAGTTTGTAGAAGAAGGCAGACAGCAAGCTGTAAAGTTCTAGTAAACACCATCATATACCCAACAATAAAAGAAGGCAATACAAAAATCATGGGACACGGCAGTTCAATCTTGTGGTTTGTTTATTGATCACATACATCCATTTCTGGCAGCATCACCTCCATCTACCTATTACAGTAGACAAGACATGTAGGTACTTAATACTTAATCTAGGTATAAGCCTACCTGTTTATAGCTTTGCAAAAACTACCAAACTGTTTCCTGTTATTTTGACCGCATAAGATATTTTTATGACCCTCGTTCAATTGTTACCATCTACCACATGACCCTTGTAAACAAAATTTTGCTTATTGACATGAATAAGCGAATTTGAATTTGAGTTCTTGAATTTATTTTAGGAAAGATATCAAATTATTTGAATACATTTTTTCTTAGTCGGAACGCACCGTCGCGTCGCTTCGACTGGCAGTAGACGAATTTCGCCCAAAAACCGATTTGCACTTCACAGCTTACGTTTCATTTTTATTATTTCCTAATGAAACTCTTGCAGCGTGCTAAAAACAAAGTCAACGGGGTGCCAGCGGACCACTTTTTCGATTTTATCCACTAGGATCTTTTTAAAATATCAAGAAGACGAGCACAAATAGTAAGCATTTTCAACCCACCATAATTCTTGAGCAAAGACAAAATTTTGTAAAAAGCTCTGATAGCACCCTAGGCAATTATGTCCTGCTTATATCCAGAAAAACATCACAAACTACAGAACACAAGTTGAAGGTAACGGCGAAATGGGTACATTTCACGAGTTATGAAATTCAAATGAAAATGCAGGTATAAAATCTACTAAATTATCATTCTCAAAAACATTTTGACATATCGATAATTTTAAAGTTCCACGCTAAATTCCCCTATACTTGACTGGAGCGATATCCGAATTTATTCTTCCCTACTGTCGGTAGTTGCAGATTTGTTGGCTCTTGGTGTCAAACCTATAGAGCAGGTACAGATTTTTTCAAATCATGAGCACATTATTCGTCGGATTTTCGTTACTTAAATTTCTTGTAATTACTGGGATCAGAAGCTTCTTAATAATAGAACGTGTTTCACTGATTTCAACTCCCCCTTTTTAAGCAGTACAATTTTTTTCTGTCAATGATAAGAAACCCCTGTAATGTCAAAAACGGAGTTTCAGCAATTGTTACTTTTTCTTTTTTGCCTATAGCACCGTTGCCACTCTACTAAAACTACAAAGCTTTGGCATACTAGTAACCCCGTGTGGGAATAAAAATCCGAGCGGTAATTTCCAAGTTGATGATGAGTGATGCAGTTTTTCGTGATGTAGATGTCATATAACTTAAAAAAATATAACATCTCATTTTAGAAATTTTTCGCGATTACAATTCTTCCTCACCAATGGCGTGGGAAGTAAAACAGCTTTAAAGTCGAGGAGTATCATCGATCGCGATTATGAGTACGTATTTGCAGAACGACTTATCTACGCGATATTATATGAAATCGGGCCACCAAATTATCTGAATCTTAGTCCGTACATTGCGCCGCAACGCTTGGTCGGCAGCACGAAACAGTAGACAAAATTCGGCTAAAATACGATTTGTAAAGGTTTGCGCGCTTCGAAATTGACGCTTTATTTTTTGATATTTTTGGATGAAATTTTCACAGTGTGCTGAAAACAAAACTCCACAGGGTGGTATAGAGCCACTTTTTCATTTTTTCACTAGGTTCTTTTTAAAAAAAGCGCGAAGTAGAACAAAAAAAGTGCGCACTTCAACCCATCATATAACTTGTGCAAAAACGAAGTTTGAAAAAGTGCTCCTATAGCACCCTGGGGAATTATCTTCTCAACACACTGTAAGAACTTCATCCAAAAATATTGAAAAATAGAGTGTCAGTTTCGAAGCAGCTGAACCCTTGTAAATGGCTTGAAACTCACTGCGTCGGAGCCGCCTTGATTACAACCCGTAAGATGGGTATACTGGTCGCCCTTCAATCTCCGTCGCAACTAGCCTGGAATCTCCTTTTTCCTTTCTTGTTTATATTTTTCTGTTTTATCAGAGAAAAACAAGCTTCACCTGACACTTTAATTTAATATTTAATATATAATTAAAAACATTCGAGTTTTGGTTTCTATATGACTAGTCCGGTAATACGCAAAGGGGGTTATCTACCAGTTGTACTCAAAAAAACTAAAATAGGGAAAGCCGAGTAAGTGATGTTTGTACATAATTATAGGCAAACACAAATCTACGTTCCTCGTGTGCGAGTGAGCACATGTATGATTGGGATGAAGCACAAAACTGCATATACTATAAAGAAATCACTTTTATAACTTTATGTTTGGTATCAGATCTTTTTGATATTTTGCTACATAAGGTCTCATTTCGATAGAAATACCGAAAAGTCAGTAGGTGCGGCGAAACTGTTTGTTCCAATTAAATTTCGACCGTTGAAATTAATTTCGATGGTGCTTTGACACATTTGATCGGCTAATATAATTTGACACTGTCATTATAATTTGAATAAACAT